CAGTAACGTTACATCGTTACTCGTTACCTATAGCGTTTGTGCTGATGTTTTATTACATTATAAAACAAACGTCTCGTATTAATTATGAGTCGCGATGCAGTCACATCCCTATTGATCGTAAAGATTCTTTGATAGCAGTTGTAAAATGTTCCAAATCGTTGTCGTGATAATTTATGAAGCATGTTTATGGGTGGATTTATAACCATATCAGTATGTTCTGCGCAGTCAATGCATGGTGCTATGAGCAGGCACACTGTCATCGGATCATATAACGAGACATGCTGATATGGAGAGCATCAGTTTGTTTTCATTTGTTTTAGTACTTATCTCATCGTAACAAATGTTAAAAGAAGAAATTTTAAAACAATTAGTGAATGATCGTAAATTATACTATAATAGGCTAGTTGTCTAAAAAAATTTTTTTAGTCCGTAATGTTTAATATCAAAAAATATTGGACACATATATTTTTATTTGTCAATCTAACAAATAATTACATAGTTATGGTGCGTTGAAGTTGCGCACGACGTCACAACGTGCGGCATTTTTAAGCAAGCGTTGACGTCACGGGCCTCTTCTTATGAACTTTGGGGCGCTTTATCTCTTAAAATTTTCATTAGTTTGAAAAAGTGAAAAATACGTGTAGAGTATTTTTTGATAAGTTAACTGACGGACTAATTAAAACTCTTGCTTTTTGACCCAGGCAACATCCCCATTGATGATCATAAAAACGAAACCGAATAAAAACAATTATGAAAATGCGGATGATGTTATTATTAGAACACAACGAAATTAGCAAACGGATCCCACGACGAGGGGCAAAAGTGAATTAGCCAGGGCCTATTACGTGAAGTGAGTTATAAAATAAAGCCGGGGCGAGCAACTTCATACATTACACGCCGATAACCAGCCGAGACTTGTGAGACACAAACCAGTCCCTTTTAGTGAAATTGAAAACTTTTTCTGTTACTCATACTGCGGCCGCGACACCGCTCCTTTTAAATCAATTGCCTTTTATAATTAACTTAGCCCGTTATTGGAGTGCACTCGCTCGTTGACTCGATTAAAATTCAATCGAGGTGTAAATCTATTGAGGAACGAGTTTTTCTGGCAGATGTAATCGAGTGAAATTGTTCTAGGACGAGTGTGCCGGACGCTGGCCGAGATATAATTAAGTGGGACTTTTTGTGATATCTCTATTACACTGTTCAATTTATCGAAATGTCTGTCGTTAATTTTTATGAGACGCAAGATTATGAACGGTATACTAAGATTGGGGCGACAGTAAATAACTGAATTTAAATTAACTGCTTACTAGCTTACGTTTATATGCTATTTCCAGTAGTGTGAATTTAATTTACGTGGATGTATTTTATTGTTACTGCATTAGGATAGTAAATTTTGTCTGAGATAACGACTATTGCTTCAAATATATACGGCCTTATTCACAAAATTTTACACGCATTTAATTTAATTAAAATACTGTTTAGTCCATTCATTGAAATTAACATTTGACTTACGTGGCATAGAATTTATTAGATAACGGTGTTCCTCACCAATAACGTTTATTTTTAATGAATTAACGGATAATTAGAAGGTTAATTCATCAAAAATCAAGTGACGTAATCACCTCTAATAACTCACAGAGACTTATTTTAAGGACCAAATAACAAATGCTATCTCAATTTCCAAAACAATATCTTTTTCATCCATTAAACAAATGACTCGCGCCCGCCGTATGTCAATTGTGACGTTGTGCAGCCCCCGCTAGCTCGCCGCCCGGGCTTCCCCGCCTTGGGAGTGCCACTTTTACCTAATTTCTATTAAACATTTATTACATTAGGCTCGAGCTATCGGAGGTATCGGTCATGTTTTATTTATTACCACTCGTGGGATTGTTTCTATCTGTGGTATTAGACAATCTGTGAAGTGTTCGTATTATTAGAATCGGCGGGACGGTAGCGGTTAAGCGCGAAGCGGTATTAAGTTGAGCGAGTTTTGAAATTCTTTAAGGACTTTCACATAAAAATGTTGTTAGTTTACGAATATCACGGAAATTCACACTGCTGCATACCTATTATACAATTTTGTATAAAATAGGCACAATTTTACAACAAAAGTCTGAAGATGATTTTTACATAACGTAAAGTTTTAAAAGAAAATTATACTGAGCTAAAACTAAAATCGTAAATAATATTATTCTAAGTTAATTTTAATAGCTTATGTATCAAATCAATCAGTTTCTTTTACAGTTAGTAAGCTACATTTACAAATTATGAAACGTGATGAAAACATACGGAGAACCTCTACATGCGAGTATACTCGTAGTTACTTATAACTAACTCTTCATTAGACCTTTTTAGTTTTAATTGTCTCTACCTTTCTTCTACTCATTTCCGCGGAATGATCTCAAAATGAGTTCGAAGACGTTCGCTCTGATCGCATTGTTCGCGGCCGACCAAAATAGTTTAATCAGAGTTATGCGAACCATTAATTAAATTACGTTTGCCATGGGGCGGCTATTATATAAGAATATTGCTTTTATTTGTGGGGAGTCATTCAATTAAACATTCATTCATTTGCAGCCATCGGCGTCCATTACATTTCATTATAATTTAGGCCTATTTAATGATCGATCCACGTGAAACTTCCTCGGGCCAATTTATTGGTGATTAATGGGAAGTGACGTCATTACGAATTGACCATGTAATGATATTAGGAAAGTTATTGCTCTATATTGTAATAGGAAAAGTGTTTGTATGTTGTAACCCTCCCGAAACGCAGATAAATGCAGCAATGTAAGATACATTTTAAGGTAGAGGCTAGAGGAGAGAAATATTTGAATGAAAAAGCAATTTACTTATTTACGACACATTCAGATTTTATTAATTCACTCACTGACTTAACACCAAATCTCGTAAACATCTTGATCGTATATTTGGCTACTTGATTAGCTGAGGACTACCTGCTACATTAAATAGCAGTAAAGTAAATAGTTTATGTTTGAATTAAATTAATATCGACGTGAAATATTCACATGTCGAGTTATAGTTATGAGTTTAAAAATATAATAATGAAACCTATAAACAAAACCTAACCAGGAATTTGGTTTCCTGTGTGATAAAATAGTACTTGAGATAGCAAACAACGTGCAACGCTTTGAAAATAAATTAATTTGAATTCCCTAAAATAACTCGGTGCCTTCTAATTGGGTAGCTCCAGCAATGGTCTATTCAAAGCAAATATTGTTTTTACTTGAGTAATGCACACTCTATCTGCGTAATTAAATCCGACAATTAGGTTTATTAAAAACTCCAACTAAGCGAACGTAGGCAAATTAATTACGCTTGCTTTACGAACTAATCTAGTCTGCTTTATTAAATTATTCCACGTGTTAATATTACAGGAGGCCATAATAAGCTATTACACAAATTAAGTTTTAAAACTTGTTAATTTTTAATGGTCGATAACTTTTAATGGGCCCGGCCTGTTTGATGTGCCCGATTTCGTGAAAGGTGTTAGTTAATTCTTAATTTAATTAATTAATCTTCATTTAAATGAAGAATTGTGTATAGTTTTAGAGCAACGGCCACACAGAAGCGGCTTGTTTAGATAACACGTAATCTCATTTAACAATTAAAGTATTTTTATTAGCCAGAGGCCCTCTGAAATTAAGACCACACAACCAAGTTTTCTACTGATTAACATTTAGATTACATATCTTGACAGATTAATGTTGTATTTATGCTATTTATTTAAATACGCAGATGACTGATTCGTCATTTTCTTGTTATTTAATAACGATGTAGGTTTATCCGATTTCTTACATTAATATGTACATTTCCTCGATTTGAAACTGGCTTATTTTACATGATGTTTAAAATAATAATATTTTTTAATTACTGCTAATTGTTTTTGATGTTTACCGACATTTTTACTTATTAGATATCTATCAAATGTCGGAGATATAAAAAAATATTTGTGTGTAGAAATATGAAAACAAAATTTTTAATTGCTTGATTTATTATAAGCACTTCCTTTCTGTTGAACTTTTGACTAATAGTATGAACTAATTTCCCTTCAGATATTTTAAAATTCTTGTCGTTCAAAATGTCTAGGCATTGGATTAAAACGAACCATGAAAATAATAAGGCCTTACCGTATTTTTTAACGAGGAACTAAAAATTATTCCGTAAAATAATACAATTATGTGATTCAATCATGTGGGCGTACGCCGACATCAATTACTATTTACCGTACCAACACACAATTAAAATATTCTTACCGAAATAACTTCAATCCACCNCATAAAATATTTGTTTAATAATTATAAACTTACTACCTACCCTTTTTCACATGAACGCGTAGAGATATTAAAGTTGAAATTCATATCAAACACTTCTTAAATCTAATTGCCTCTAAACTGTGAGAAATTTTAAATCAACGCAAAAATTCAAAACGCTGAGGTAGGTAAATATAGGAAAAATAAATAAATAAAAAATAATCATACCGCATATTTTGAAATTCGCCACTACTCGCAACGGAATCAAGTAAGTAATTTGATTTAATACGTCATAAATTGTAAACCGCTACGTTTGTACGGCGGAACCCTCAGTGTGCGAGCCCGACTCGCACTTGGCCGGTTTTTACTTATTAGATGTCAATCAAATGTCGGAGATATAAAAAAATATTTGTGTGTAGAAATATGAAAACAAAATTTTTAATTGCTTGATTTATTATAACCACTTCCTTTCTGTTGAACTTTTGACTAATTACTCGTAGTATGAACTAATTTCCCTTCAGGTATTTAAAAATTATTTTCGTTCAAAATGTCTAAGCATTGGGTTAAAACCAACCATGAAAATAATTAGGCCTTACCGTATTTTTTCACGAGGAACTAAAAAATATTCCGTAAAATAATATTTATGTGATTCAAACATGTGGGCGTACACCGACATCAATTACTATTTACCGTACCAACACACAATTAAAATATTCTTACCGAAATAACTTCAATCCACTGCGAATTCGGAGTCACATAATGGCCGAAAATATTTTAATTAGCTTTATTCTCGGTAACTTAGAAAACAAAACAACGCGATTAATTAGAGATTTGGGAACGCTGCGGCGCGGGCGCGGGGCGCGTGTTTACAAAACGCTCTCCTTACAAAAACTGAATGAATGAACGGGTGTTCGGAGTATCGCGGCTTCCTGCCTGATATGATAACACCCTCGCTAATGAGCACTATCACTAGCTGCGCCCCCGGCGGTGCTCGTTAATGACCAATTTCCATTTAATTGATATCATAATCACTCTTTACGTTAATGCGTACTGGGTGGTAGAGATTTTAAAATTAATATTAAAGCTCTACAGTAGGCCTATTTTTACAGCGTTCGAATGCAATTCACATACGGATTTATGCTGTTTTGAATGTAACTTCAAAAATATCTCAAAAACATGAAATTATGCTCGCACACTGTCGCACCCTTGACTTTGCAGTAACGTAAAAAATATATGATTTGTATCTAATTAATGTCCTAATTTACATTGTAGGATACAAATAGCAATTAATACTTTCCGTTAGTATGTATTTATTTAACATAATACGAGTATCTACACACTTTATCAATCAATTTAATTATGAAGAACGACGTATCCTGCTAATTAAAGTAACTTGCCGATTTCCTGTTCGTTTAATTTTATGCTGTCTTCTGAAAATCCTAAATATAAATGCTACGTATCTACATGTGTGCATAACGTTATTATTTTATGTAAAATTAATACCTTTATCTTGGGTTTTCCTGAGGAATTAATTATTTTGAAATTAAATGTTGTTGCTTTTCAACTGACATCAATAGTAGATACCACACTTACAGTGTACAGCTATGTACCTGCAAATTCCTTGGTAACAAATAGGCTCTTTTCAAAGCACTTATGTTACACGTACTAAAATACCAAGCTTGGCAACTTAAAAAGTGCAATGTAAACTTTTAACAGGAAGGCAGTGCACAGTCTGACACAAAAATTAGTGTATTTAACATTTGGACACATTATTACAGGTTAGTTTATCTATTTTTTGCTATTTTTTTCTGTTTTTGGTTACCTGTAGTTACCAAGAGGATGTATCTATATTTTATCAAGTCACCCTGTTTACAGAACGTCTAAAATTGGATCGCGTCTAAAAATCTAAATGAGAATCGAGGAATCATAGTTTATTTTCGAGATTGTACACGTGCAGTGGTAGGAAAAAAGAGTAATATTATTTTTCAATTCCCATACAAAGGTGGTCGGTGCGGCGCGCAAATTGGTTGTATTGTCAATTTGGCCAGTGCGTGCCGGGCGGGAACCAATGTTTATTTTCAATTTCCACCATTTTCGGTACGCCCCGCACTGGATTAGGACGAACAAACTATTTTGAACAATAGTTTTTGGTGTTCAACGCATTTTTAAATACTGAACACAACAATAAAGTACGAGTATTCGAAGCAACTTCGCTTCTATTTTTTAACAGACAATAAAATCAAGTAGATAAGTACCTAATTTATTGTTGTTTTTAACGTTCTCGTGAAACGTTCTCGTCTCTTCGTGTTCTCGTGAAAACTCGAAGAAATCTAGATACACTAGAGGCATCTAGCGTGTGGCCAAGTTAAGCTGGCTGGTTTAACCTGGATGTGGTGCGTTGCAATTTCCAATATCTACGCTGGAGACTTTTAGCGTACGGCCAAGTTAAGCTGGCTGCTATCACCTGGATGTGGTACATTGCAATTTGCAGCGACGACGACGGGCGCGACTAATCGCATAATAACAAACGCGAATAAATCCGTCGGCGGGTCCGTCATTAACATTGTGCAACTTAAATTATTACTTATTAAACGCGTGTAATGGCCGCACACCGCCAACAGTTCACGGTGACACGTGAAATTATATATTTATACCCGCACATAATGCGCCAGGTGCGATAGCTGCCAGTGCTATGAAAATATGCATAAAATTAACTGAATATAAGTACAATAACTTTTTCCCGCGGCGACTAACTTCAATCTACTACACGTATAGCGTCAGGAATAATGTAGCATTATAGAATTTTTGAAATCGGTCCAACAGTTTTTGAATTTATTCGTTATAAACATACAAAGAACAATCAGTATGATTTTGAGTGTAAGTAGTACTAATCAATTAATAAATCAATCGCCACTAATGTTCAGACGAAAATAATGCTTATTATTTTCAGAACAAAGCTGACATTAGTTTCACCCAACCCTCTAAATGCATCGGTGACCTTTCCCGTTGCGGGTAAAGTAGGGATTGGCTGGAAAAAGTGTAATTGCGCTAAACCACCGAATGATGGCCGTTACACGTTTTCAATTGCCCGTAACTTTTTAAGCGCCCACTTTATGTGAAGGCTTCTTCTAGTACTATCTCAAAATGAGAATTAACTTAGTAAAAATGTTTACCAGAAAAATTTAACTTTTTTTACCAATAAACCCCAAGCCATCGCATAAGGCCGCGTAACAATTTGATTTCTATTGTAGGTACCTATCTCGATTCGTGGGGCTTCCGAAAGCTACAAGTGATAAGTTAATTTAAAGATAAAACTGGTATAAACGATACTTATGTCCAAATGCTATTCTAATTATATTAATCTACATGTTTAAAATAAAGTAAGTTTTCCTCTTTGCAAAGGTGGTTTATAATTCGAAACTTTGTATATTGACCCAGAACGCAAAATTACTACTGAAAAAACATTATCTAAGAATATTGATACGTATGCATGAATGAAAATAAAACACTTCTTAAACTACACAAAAAATAAAAATATGAATTACAAGTATCTTACCTCATTTGTTCCCCGCTTCATGGCTTGCCCTCACAGACCTCCCGTCGTGAGGAGCACCTTGTGTGAGAAATTCGTAATTGCCCTTAATTGCCACTGATGACCGTATTACACATTTTCAATTGTAAACCTCGCTGTCGACGGCTTTCATTTAATATGCAACCTTACAGACCTTTAATTAGATTTAAATCAAGCAATAATAAAAGATTAATGTTTACAGCTTTTATAATGAGCATTAAAGCTCAATTTTATTTAAGACCTCTAAAGCTCTGGCGACGAAGCCTTTTATTTTTAGAAAGAAAATAAATTCTGGAGTTTGGAATGTAATAATATCTGTTTATTTAAAAAATAAACCTAACAGAACGCTTTAATCTTTAAAAGAATTTAATAAACGGAAGAATTGGACTTTGCTTTTAGTACCTTTCTGAATCAATTTTTCATAATATCTTCGAATATGGTTTGTCGTATTTTTTTTAAATATTCATTTGTGTAACAACAAATAACTAATAGTCCCGTTAGCCCCTCGTACTAAGCTAAAATGCTTGTATCACGAGTGAGCTCACCACAATAGTCGAGCGGCGGCGGGGACCGAACCCGCGTTCCCTAGATCACGAGTCAGCCAGTCCGACCCCTTCACCGTTCGGCTATCGCGGCTTCACATCTGTATTGTACAATCATTTCATTATAGGGTTGTATACATCGTACCAACCCAAGACGTAATACTATCAAGTGACGTCATTAAAATGATTCCCTATGACGTCAGACGTTACTGGTACAGCCTGAAGCTAGATTGTGTTATGTTTATATCAAATATCAAGCTGCATTATAATAGGTACGGTACAGCCCGTACAGCTCAGCCTCGAGTGCTTGCGTGCTCCATAATAATGCAATTCGATACTAATAGCTCATTCGAGTGCTCAACTGCTCACCTTCGTTAGTACTTCTGTCTAATTATTTCTCAGAAAATTGCGAACGAACGTTAGTCGTATTTATATTTTCTACGTTGCGATATTATTTCGCGTCGGCGTTTCTCGCTGTGATTTTAATAAAATGTTAGGGCAAGTTGGGAATGTTTTGGAATTTATCATGTTACTAATTAGCTTGTTTTCGTATTCAAATTGCGTATCAAGTTAAGTATATACTTGTACCTGCTTTAAATTTTATCATTAGAGACACGTGTAGGAAATGCACCTACATTACTATCTGATCAAACTGCCTGTATGAAATGATGGATCAAAAGGGTTGAGGAGCGCTCTGGTTAAAAAAAACGATCACTGGAGAAGAACTTTAACAGCAATGTTGTAAAAAATTATAATACACACTGTACATTCAATGTTCAGACGACTGCAAATCAAGACTAAGAAACTAATCTTAATCAGTTATATTAGTTGCGATTTTGAACAAAATGTAGAGTCTGAAGTGCTATTGACTGTACTTTAATGAGAACATTTTCTTTAAGTACTCGTACCTTTTTGTACTATACAAAGAACACCCTACTCAATGTCAAGGTTAACATTTATCCAACAGGAAGCGTTAAACTTATTGTTTTAAGGCTTAATTTGTGGGCGATCCGGCGGGAAGCTCAAATATTGGCGCGTTTTATTACCCGCTGTTTGCCGAGCTTCCTGAGCTTCCTTTGAGACGAAGGGTTATCTTGAGTATCTATCGGGTTACTTGCTTAACTGAGAGTTGGGAAGTTTTATAAGATTCACCGCGGATAAAGTTGTTTAGACTTTTATCTGGCAAACTTGCATAAATAGCACTTAAAACACCATTGATGCAAATCTAGCGTTAAGAGTCGCATCTCAAACTATTTTGAATAACTTGAAAAAGTCGAATGCCTCTAAACCGAACCTTCATTCGATTATTTCAAGTTATTTAGAACTTAAAATACTTATTTGGATAAAGCACTAATTGTCATTGTATCCAAAGCAAGCCGTGAAAAGATGTAGTTCCAGTTTTCATGAAATAGGTACCTTAGATGCTGTATTGTAAACAGATACCTATGGGAAAAAGTTATTTTTATATTAAGTACTGTGTAAGTAATGTGGGTGTATTATCCTAATAAGCTCAAATATAAGCAGGTATTATTGTTCGCCGTACCGAGCTTCCTTTACAGCGCGAAGGCGTCTATCGTCTCAATTTACTCCGAGTAAGAAACTTCGCTCGTAGTTCGATACTTTCGACAGGTTTCACCGCGGATAATAAAGTTATCTAGACTTAACTGACAGATACGTAGGTACGCACCTTTTTCAGTGACTCGGTTTCCACGTTTAAGTTAGTTATATTTAAGAAACCACTCGATATTGGCAGAAATAAACCTCCCAAAAGAGGTAT